TACGGAGATCAGTCGCAAAATTTCAAGCGAGCATAATTTTTCCCCATTGATTTCGTGTTAATCGATCTCGAGAGATACACAGTTGCGAGATTTGAGGTACGAGCTTTAGGGGCGAGTATGAATGTAGCTAAGGCTTTGCACCTACAAGTCTTCAATGAATGCTCGGTCTGTGCGGGTATTAGCTCAAGTGAAATTAGTTGATAGGTAATTTACGTTAGTACCCTCCAATGTTTTCTGTATGTGCGGTTAATTGATGAGTTCCAGCGTATTGTTTATGTCCGTCAGATTTAATTGATCCAATGTTCAAAATTTATTCTCATTTCCTTCATTAAGAGTCATTCTCACCGGAACTCAGCCCTATATATATATATATATATATATATATATATATATATATATATACTAGTTTATAATCAAAATTGAGTCTATAATCAAGCATAAAATTTGTGTTGTGACCTGATTATTTTGCTTTGATAGATGTTTGTGGATGTTCTTGTTGTAAAATTTGTGGGTGTTCTATAATCAAATTGAAAGTAAATAATTTTGAATTTATACTTGAGTTTTAGTGAATAGTCTACTATAATTATATCATGATGTTGTTAATTATTCATGGAATGATATACATTTGTTTGGGTGATCTTTTATCCGTTGTTATGTAATATATGATCAGAGTGCTCAATAAATTTAGAATATTTATTTATCACTAATTTAAAAGCTATGTTAGTTTTTTTTTTTTTTTAATCAAACATCATATTTCATAGCAATAAAACATAGATACATAATCCGAGTACAAACATAGCCCCATAATCAAACCAGAAAAATAAGATCCCGAAAATCTAGAAAACAACCCCGGGGTTCATTAACAATGACCCCTGAAAGACCACATCGGTCGAAAGAATACAACAGCATCAAGAACAAATAATAAGGTTCATCAAAGACCCTAACACTTTAATATCCTCCACAATAACTTATAAATGGACCTGACACGTAGAATTACATTTCACTAAATCCACTATTCTCTTGTCCTTAAACTGGATCTGCACCTTGGTCCAACCTTCAGCCACACCGGCTTCTAGCTATCCTCTTAGCCCCAGCAAAATATTCTCATTAGTTACCCTGGCTTTGCTATCTTCCATCACCCATGTAGCCATCCTTGTTTGCTGCTTCCAAGCCTGTCCCTGAGCCACACAAGCCTTAGCCATTGAGTTAATAGCACTGACACCAACAACTTGCTGCCCTACTCCTACACTCTGACTAAAAGCTTGCTGCTCCTTATTCTCTACCTTCTCAGCATGGTACATATTTTTTATCTCTTGAAACTCTAGCCACTCCCCTTTAGCCCTCTGTACCAAACTCCATTCATCCATTTTTTCTCCCTTAAACACCCAACTGTTTCTAGTGGTCCATAACCACCATAGTAAGTATGTAGATAAACTTACCCTGTCCACATAATTATGTGCATTATCAATTGTGGACAGATCACTGCACCATTCTTGGAAACTTAATTGCCCCTGCTGCCATTTATCCCATGATAGTCCAGCAATTTTCCATACCTTTTCAGCTCTGTCACAGGTAAAGAATAGGTGCTCCATGGTCTCAACATCCTCCCCACACCAGCAACACCTATCATCCACATTCATCCCTTTTTTCCTCAGTTCAGTCTTTGTGCCCAAGTAATTGAACCAACATTTCCACAAGAACAGTTTCAGTTTTGGCTTAACAGGTAATGCCCACAGTTTTTTCCACATCAGCTGGTTACAATCCTTGGAAGTGCTGGCTCTCTTTCCATTCATGCTTCTTTTCATGTTCTTCAAAATCAAATTGTAAGCACTTTTCACTGAGAATTGGCCTCTCTTATCACCTTGCCATACCAGTTTGTCCTTCACTCCCCAGTGACTAAGATGTATGTTGAGGATGTTATCAGCATCACTTGGAGTGAAAGTTTGTTTGATCAACTCCTCATCCCAAGCCTTATTTCCTGCCAAAATTAGATCAGAAACCCAACACAACTTCTCCTTATCCCTCTGAAATACACAAACTGGTTTGAAATTAGGACTACTTGGGATCCAAGGGGATTCCCAAACCTTAACAGATTGACCATCACCAATTTGATATCTCATTCCTAACTTTAATGATTCCCTCACACTCAACCACCCTTTCCACATCCAGAAGTCTGTATTTTTCTTAGAAACACTCATTATATCCTGATTATAAAAATATTTACCCCTCATTACCTTACTCATAAGCAAATTTGGTTTAGAAATCATTCTCCACATCTGCTTAATGAGTAAGGCTTCATTCAAAGCCCCAAACTCCCTAAACCCTAATCCCCCATCAACCTTAGTTCTTGCCAATTTATCCCACCCTGCCCAGTGTATCCTATCCTTTCCCTCCTCACCTTGACCCCACCAAAAATTTGCCACAATTCTGCATAGATCCTCACACACACTTATAGGTATTATAAAAACTGACATAACATATACTGGCATAGCATTTAACACAGACTTTATAAGAACATCTCTCCCAGCCTCGCTTAAATACCTATTCTTCGAACTTGACACCTTAGACACTACACATTCAATAACAAATTTAAAATTGTCTTTTTTAGATCTATCAATCCCCAAGGGGAGACCCAAATATCTAGAAGACTTCACAATACCAATGCCACAGAACACATTGCAGATATCAATTTTTAAGTGAACATGAGTATTAGGAGAGAAGAAGACATTAGATTTTTTCATATATATGGCTTGACCAGAGGCAGAGCAGTAAGAATTCAAAATATTCATTAACAAATTAGCATGAAAAATGTCTGCTTGGCAAAGAATCAAGGAATCATCTGCAAAAACTTTCTAGCTTATGTTAGTTACTAGCTTATGTTAGTTACTAGCTTATTTTCTAGGATTTTAAAAAAATGGAGTGTCAATGTTATAGTATGATTTTATCTCCAAAAATTTAATTTTAGAAAAAAATTATATAATGTAAAAAAATTAGTCATTATTAAATTTCCTTTTCTGAAAATAAGGTGTTACATAAATAAAGAGCTTGATTTATTAATAAATTGTGTGATATCACTCATCTTATTGTTTTATTCATCAACCAGAAATTCTATGGTGCCACAACATGATGTGGCACATTATGATTGGTGCCACAACATGATGTGTGTTAGTTGTGGCACCAATCATAATGTGCCACTATCATGTCGTGGCATCATAATTGGTGCCTGCACCATAGAATTTCTGATATGGTTAATTGCATAAAAAACCACCACATTTTGTTAAATTGCAAATAAAATTCAACCTTTTCAATTTGGCAAAAAAATACCTAACTTTTATTAAGTGTTACAATTTTGTCTCGTCCGCCGGACCACTGCTGCCAACCGCCACCCGCCGTCGCCGGGTATTGAAAATTTTTATATGATCTTGTAGCTCTCTTCTATGCCGACAACATATCCGAGTTTAACGAAAAAATTTCGACGATAAGACGTCCAATTTTCCAGTCAAAAGTCGTAGATCTAAATTTTTTACGACCTTTGACCGAAAAAATTGAACGTCTTATCGTCGAAAGTTTTTCGTGAAACTCGGATATGATGTTGGCACGGAGGAGAGCTACAAGATCATATAAAAATTTTCAATATCCGGCGAAGTTGACGGTGGCGGGTGGCGGTTGGCGGCGGCAACAAGACAAAATTATAACTTTTAATAAAAATTAGGTATTTTTTTTGTCAAATTGAAAAGGTTGATTTTTATTTACAATTTAACAAAAGGTAGTGGTTTTTTTTATGCAATTAACCCTTTCTGATTCATCACCCCCCCAATTCAGTAGGTCACGAAACAAAAACGCTCAGGCCGCAACCCCGCCATTGCCACTTCGTCGTTCTTCACCTTCACGCCGCATTCCCGCTGCAAGACCACCCCATACCGCCCTCATCAATATCCTATCGCCCGACTCCATCACTGTCCCTTTCCTATATCTCGCCCCTCTCCGTATCTGGCCAGCTTCCGTCGCCGGCCTGCCTCCGTCTCTGTCCCGTCCCGATTTCTCGCCCCCCTCCGTCGCCGGGCCGCCTCCATCGCAACTTTCAAAGGTATATTTTTAGCTTGTGTCACACTGATAACGACTTGATTTTTAGCTTGGTTTGGTGAATTGGTTTTTCATGGATGAATTTGTTTCATGGCTCAATTGTTTGGTGAATTCGTTGTGCAATTAATAATCATATGAGATTAAAAAAATAAAAGTGAAAAAGAAACTCAAACGTTTAGTATAAGTTGAGCTGCTATGATGAGCTTTAAAGTACTTGATCCCCGACTGCTAGCTTGGTCCTGCTATCTCTATCTCCCTGTTCAAAGACTGAAGGTCGAGTGTAAAATTTTTCGTCCAGAAACTCCACAAGACCGTAGACCGCTGCCTCATTGCCAGTAAAACTTTCTGATTCTTATATCAGATTGTTTGTAGAATTGTAATACCTAAACAATTTTATGAACCGGTTAATCTGCAACAAGGCTAAGAATGGCCGTAGGTTGACGACCCTGTATCTAGCCTTCCGGATACCAGAACTCCATATGATGTGTACAGTATGAAAGCCCTTGTTCGTAGGATCATGTCGGTGATATTATACTTAAATTTCGAGTAGATGAGGGGAGGCGGGCTTGCAAAAGGTGACGTCATGGTGAGTGAGGCAGTCTCATTAAATTACTGAGGCGAGTAGGAGCAGTTTTAACATATTAGTGTTAAGGGCATAAACATTCTTTTCCAATTTACACATGTTTGGTCAAAAACCCTAAATTAGGTTGTGCCTTTTCATCACTTGCCCATGATATGCATTTAGGATGACAATGCCATCAAGAAACAATTTTGGATGTCAGATTGTTCATATGGCAATGTGCTATGAGTGATAGTTTTAATTATTTTTATATTTTCCGTTTAGCTAGCATTAGACAACAATGCAAGTAGAGAGCAAAAGCAATCACAAAAGAGAACATACTAAGATCGGCTGCAATATGAAGAGAAAGAATGATGAGAAGAAAACGGAGCTTGCTGGGCAGTCTGCCACTTGTAGCGGCCAACAGCACTCGAAGAAAAGGAACCAAAAAGAAGTTGCCACATTTGGGAATTACAGGAATTATTACGGATACAGGGTAATCCCATCTCGTTTCTATTTTCTCATTTCTTTACTTTTTTGGGTTTATAAACATCTCTGTTTTTCAATGTTACGCGCAAGACGTTTTTCCTTGAGCCTCTGCACCGAAAACCCGTGAAAATTGTAGAAGCTCAAAGAGCATGCCTTGTGATTAAAATATATAAGTAGCCTTTGTGACTAGTTTATGGCCGTTGCCCAAAAAGGTTTAATGTAATATCTTAGTTTGTTGTTAGACTTAATTAGGGAGTTCTCTTTCCGTATCAATGGTTCTCAGGTTGGCCACGACCTGGATGAAGATCCTAGATTGAAGATGATGAAAAGAGAATGGTTTGAGGGGAAGGACTGCCTTGATATTGGCTGCAATAGTGGTTTAATCACTATAGCCATTGGTAAGAAATTTTAAATAAATGCATTTGTTAGTTTCTTGTTGATTTTACCTCTGTGATCGATTAACTTTTGTCTTCTCTTGTTCGCTACAGCAAAAAAGTTTGGTTGCCGGAGCATTATTGGTGTTGACATTGATGGAGGTGAATCTTTTTCTCAAATCTCAAAGCTCTTGTTGAAGTTGAAACAAACTTGCCTCTCATTTGTTCAAATTGATTGGGATATTATTTTAGCACTGTAATAGTGCATTAACCGCATTTTTTAGAATTTTTGTACCCTCTGCATTTTGTTTTCTCGTTCCTTGAAACCTTAATGGTTTAGTAGTTAAAATTGGATAGTACTGTGAGTCTGTGATTGACTAATCCTCGGGTTGTGAAGACATCTTCTGTCTAACAAGATCCATGTTACATGCCATCGACAATATTTGTTCTTGAACTTGACTAAATTTGTTCATTTATATAATTCTAATTTAGGATCTTAACCTACTTTTGAGCCTCGGAAAGGCTTGCCTTCTTTAAGGCAACCAATAGTATATTGTAATAGTCCAAATTGTAGTTGGTAGTAAAGCTAAAGAAATGCATTAGATGTTTCATAAATCACTTAATTTGTAGTAATTTTGCAACATGCGGACAAGCCATTTAATGGTAGGAAAAATCGACAATCAGTTGTGATCATGTGAAGGCTGGCACCCAATTTGAGATGGGCTGGCTAATGGTGCTGACCATTTCCAATTGGGGAGGCAGCTTGTTTCCTGGTTTTGCTCTGCAGCTCTTGAAGACGTAGCTTGCATGTATGAGAACGTGTATTTTATTAAGTGAACTTACTTTAGGTAATTTGGCCAACCCTACATTTCAGACAATATTGTGATGTTCAGTAAGAAATTCCTCCCACTTGTCGAATATAAATGACGTCTGTTTTCTATGATGTTCATTCATCAAAATTTAGCCCGGGTTGAGGATGCAAACTGGACACTAAGGAAAGTGATCAGGACAAGTACACAAAAGGTGAATTCCAAGTCTGACCGATCAGCAGATGCCGAGTTGGCCAGCAGCTTGGGAAACAACATAACTGAATCACTGACTGATGAAAAACGAGATGACTCGTTGGAAACTGATCTGCTTAAAATAGTCTCTTTTCAGAAAGGCAATTTCGTTCAGAGTTGGCGCCCACCAGAAAACAAATGTTTTCATGCAATCTTTTGGTAATTATGCTGTCCTTTTGATCCTATGCATGTTTGATTGACTCTTTATATTCTTGTTTTTTTGGAGGTAGTTTGTTGTGTTCTTGTTTTATACTTTGTTGCTGTTACCAACTTGAGCTTTGTCAGCAGAGTTCCACTAAGCAAAACGAAAGTTGTATTTTCACGAGCAGTTTAATCACTCTGAATCTTTGTTGTGTACTTAGTCGTGCATGAATGTTGTGATTTACCTGGGTCTATTTTGATTCCGTTCCTGATCAGATTATTTTTGAGTTGCAGCTTAAGTGTAGCGAAATGGATACATTTGAACTGGGGTGATGAGGGACTGATCACATTATTTTGGAGAGTGTGGAAACTTCTCGTTCCGGTATCCTGAGCATTCAACATTTTCTCTTTCTACTTAAACCATTTTTTTGTCGTCTGGAACTGCTTTTTTATTCCCCTATATCCGTTTGGAAATGTTAAAGATGATTAGCAAATTTGTTGGCAGGGTGGCATTTTCATTTTGGAACCCCAACCCTGGAGCTCGTACTATAACAACCGTCTTGTGTCCGAGGTAAATCACTGCACCTTTCGACTCCTAATTTAGCAATGAAGTGAGAACTATCAGTCAATGGATATCGACTATTTTGTGCATTTTAATTTGCAGACTGCCGCCAGTAATTACAAGAACATTCAGTTTCCTCCCGAAGATTTTCAGGACATACTTTTAGATAAGGTAATGGTTTTGGCTATTAAATTATTTAAAGTTGGATGAATTTTTTCTACTCCACTTTGATCGAGTCTTTTGTGACGGCAGATTGGATTCCGGAGGGTTGAAAACATAACACCTCGCGAATTTGGCAAGAAACAGGGATTTGACAGACCTATTTTGGCTTTCTGGAAATGATTTGGTTCATCTAAACATATGGAGGAATTTACAATTGCTATTGCTTGGAGCTTTTGTGTTTTCGGTGGAATTGTTGGCGAAGTATGGTGCGATTTTGTGAGTCATTGCTTAAGGTATCTTGCAGAGCAGTTTTGAGGGATTATTAATTATAGTTGCAAATTGAGATAAATTATATGAAAAAGAGGAAAATCGACTTTCCTCGATATTGGACTTCCTCCAAACAGTATAAAGCGTAAAATCGAGATCTTCACCATTTGTCATGTTATAAAATTCATTTAGTACAACACACTGTGTATTAAGCATGTGCTCTGCTTTGCATATAACTAGCAGAAGGATGAAGGAGATGGTGAAAGAAAAACCGTAGTCCATGAACACTCCTAATTTGGTTAAACGCTCAAGCTTTAGTCGAATGTGTGGTGCCATTTTTGTAATATGAATACTTCTGATTTTTCATGTGGGGGTATTTCGGTATGTCATTTCATTTCACATATAATAAAAGTTAAAGATCATAAAGAACAAAAACAAAGAATGAACAAAATTTGATTGAAAACGGAATGTTACTATTGATAATTGTCAGTTGTAACTCTCTAAGATAGCCTTGGTAATAGATGTTGGGATTATATTGGAATCAAACATCATGTTTATAACATTATCCTTAGGCTATGATGTATGATATCCTTAGCATTCTAACATTTATGTCCCCGTACAGCCTCAGACTTTTCATCTTCTCTGAAAGTTAAAGAAACTTGATGCCGTATGCGAAAACTAAGAAGAGGAGGACCCAACCAACATGTGCAAAAACAACCGCGATTAGGAAATCATGATCGTATCCTAAGTACTCTTTGAGAAACTCATTCACCCTTGTCTTTGCAGTGTTGCCTGTCAGTTCGAGTTCGCCCTTTTGATCTCCTATTTGTGACGCAAAAATACCGTAAATCGTCCAGGTAACTGGGGATGCCTAATAGTACCATCTCCACCATACTGGGATAAGCTGCAAAAGATACAGTTTTATAATATCATTTGGGACGATTATTTTGTTTTTCTTTCCTTTGTTTTGTCAAATACTGGTGAGAATAATTTCTAAAGACTACATTGGGAATGTCTTAGCTTGATCGCACGAACCTACATAAATATTTTGGCTTGAGGTTTCAGTTAGTTAGAAAAAACAGCCCAGTAATTTGGGTAATCACTAAAAGACACCGTCGATGTTTAGTTTCTTCTTACCGGACGGGGGATTACGAAACCGGAAAACAAGTTCCAGAAGTTGAGGAAGAAAGACATAAGAATAGCGGCTATTTGGTAGCCAGGTGTCAATGCCATGGTCATCAAGCCATACATGGAAAAGTAAGCAAAGCACATGAACATGAAGTAGCAGAAATAGAAGAATTTCTGTCCTGTCCAATCATATCCAATCATGGAGTACATAATCAGAGAGAAGATAAATGCCTGAATCGCCACGTAAATCATCTCTATCGCAACCTACCGAAAATATAAATGTCGTAAACAAATTTTATAACGTTGTCCTGGAAAAGAATTAATAGGTATGAGAAATTTTTTCACCTGTGCCATGGCGTAAGGCAACTCGGAGTACATTCCTGCGGCTTTTTCGCGGTAAAATACCGTTCGTTCAATTGCGACTACGGATTGAACACCGGTGGCATTTGTGGCTCCCAAGAAAATGAGAGATGCATAAGTGGCTCCGACCAGATTAAGCAAGTCTTGTTGTCTATATCTGTTAAGGGAGCGTTTGGCTTAATGTTACAGAATCATATATGATGGAGGGATAATTCTCACAATAAATACTCCTCTATGTTTTGTTATTTTCTTCTCACTTAATAGTTAATAGCATTCAGAATTTAGAGAGAGAGAGATAGAGAGAGAGAGATTGGCTTACATTTGATCTCCTTTTTGCCAAAATACTACGCCGAACATGACAGCAATGATGATGGTAACGAAAAACGTATCGCATTGTACTGTGAGTTTCTCCAATAGGACCAGTGTTGCTTCCAGAAGCAAGCCTTGCATTGAGTTACAAAAGATTGTGAGTATTGAGTGGGAAAGTATATATCCTCATATCCCGAACTTGGTGTGCTGAGCTACTTTATGAGTCCTTGGTTCCTCCTGAAATTTACAAACAAGAAAAGAAAAAAAAAAAACATCAAGAAAGTAGTTATAAGAAAGCCAGATTTAGTTGCTCCGAGGAAAATTCAAAAAGAAAATAGAAACAAATCCAAGGTATTTGCATCATTTTCCACTTAACCCATAAAGCCCTTGGCATAGATTTCTGCAAAGTCGATGTTGAGTTGAGCTTCAACGCGCCGAGGAACTGATTTCCAGCATCCAAGTAGCTGGATTGTAGCCTTCTTCGATTTTTGGAACCCCCGCTACAGCCTGCATGTTTTTTTGAACAATTTACACAACCCTGTGCTTTTTTTAGATGAAGCTAGTTACAAGTAGTTGTGAATTAGAAGTCTGACAAGATTACAAGACCATACTTTTATACAAACTAGTAAAGTGCACGTGCGATGCACGTGGTGTCGAATGATTTTTGCGGAGTAAGTTTGTAAAATAAATTAATTTATTTATTAAACATATCATTGCATAAATGAAGTAAAATATAGAAAAAATGAATTCATATGTGATTTTTTTATTTAGAATTATGTTATATGTGATTTTTTTATTTAGAATTAACATAATGATGTTCTCATATAAAAATAGTGAAATAACGTTTTACAAACCCCAACAAAAATATATATAAAAAAATAAATTCCTAATAAAAAAACACAAAAATTTTCTTTCATTTTAGTTTTAACGTTCTCATAAGAACATTCATAGTCGTTGGAGTCCAATACATCAATACTATTGCAAAATTCCTCTTAACTAATTTGGCAAAATGCCAATTTTATTCAAACACTTAAGAAACATTCTGACCCAACATATAGTCAAACTTCATGATCGTATGATCTTTATAACAAGGTACTTCTACTAACAAAGGATAAATATCTCTATGAAATAACTATCGGTGTAACTAAAATTGCTGATATTTTTTATTATTATATAAACTACTACATTCCTCTAGCTCTAGATATATTGGTGTCTATCCCATTGATGCATCGCCCCACGAGGTGGGAATGAATTTTATCTCCAAATAAAAGTTGACTTTTCAAAATCTTGGTTACATGCTCCCGATGTGCTAAATTATTTTTTGAAATCATCATACATTACCTGAAAGTGACAACTTAATTTTAATCATCATACATTACCTCTAAATTAATTGCACATATGTTCAAGCACAATATACCAATGAGATTATAAATATTTCTATAGAAAGTGACAACTTAATTTTAACATTCAAAACTGTTTTGATACTTCTACATTTCATTTTCAGTGTTATTTATCTAGAATATAGACGAAATATATAATCTATTTTTTGCAATGATAAAACAAAACAATGAGAAAATATTGAGAAACATATAATTTGTTAAAATATTTGATAACAGAAGAATTAGAATTCCATTATATGACGATACTTTTAGTCATATGTAAAGTTTATTATTATGGAGTCATGATTAAAATATACATCATGTATACAAATGTTTAGATTGTTTAATTATTTAAAATTGAAAATAAATAATATATGATCATTATTTATGAGAACCAATTTCTTACAGAGTCCATATATTTAAACGCTAACAACAAAAAGTAGTAATTTTAAAAGACTTTTTGTTTGTAAATATTGATATTCATACTTTTCTAAGAAAATTAGCATGTTTTCTTTTTCTCATTGCATTACTATTATATTATTTGTTTCTTATTCTATGACAAATAATATTTTATTTGCTAAGTAACTAAAGCACATTTATACGTATTATGTTATTTTTTTTATGTGTTTTATATAATGATGGTATCAAATTATCTTATTTATTAGGCTACAATTAATATAATCACATAAAGTTAAATGTAATTTAATATATTTGATAAAATTATACTTTTTATACGAATTATTAGATTAAAAAATTTTAGAATTTTTTCCAATGTTTGATAAAATATTAATTAATTAAGTCATTTTCATAATCACTGAATACATATATGGTACCACCATTATAGGGTTCATTTTGCAGCAGTAATTAACTTCACATAGCTGATGTTATTTCATTCCTTTATCAGGTCCAGCCTTTCATTTTATTTATGACTTCACATTGCTTCGCTTCGTTTGTACCTTAAAGTGCATTTGACATAGTTTCAGCATTACGATAAACTCGTGTCAAACATATATCGAATTTGGGCGCTCTAGCCAAAACATGGGAATAATTAGAAGTTTACACCCATTTTTTTACTTTTTTTTTTAATATGAATTGTTTCAAATTTATGTATGGAAAACATACCACAAGTTTATCTTATGTTATTTTATACTTAATAAAATTGATTTTACTTGAATATAAAATTTATTATATTATATACAATTTATTATTTTAAATTAGTACTGATAATTATTATTTTATATCAATATAAATAATTATATTATTTTTATTTTATTGCAATATATGAGTCAACTCAAACATCATTGAAAATAAATGATTTGATATATTACATATAAAAAGGTAACAAATAAAAAATATGAAGTATTTGAAAATAAAAAAATTTAATGATAGAAAGTAATAAAAATTTTAACTAAAAAATTTTAAGATTAACGTACCCACTTTTAAAGAAATATACATATGAATATATATATATATATTATGTACTTAAAAGTTCTAGTTAAAATATATGTGTATCTTTAGTATGTTTTATATTTATCATTAGCCAGCTCCAATTGATATTGTACATTAAGTAATTTTATCAACATTTTTACTTTTGGATTTAATGAGAGTTATAAGTTTTGTCATCTTTCTTACCCCTTATTTAGTTATTAAAATACTAATAAAATAATTAAAGACCTTTCAAAGTATCTTGTTTGCTTTGAAAAAAATTAATTCTTATCATAAATTGAACGTCATTACATTGAATGTGTTATATTTTCTATCGTATAAAAATTCATAATAATAGTTGCACACAATATTATATAATGCATTTTTTTTAATAGATTTGGAGTCTTAGTTTTACTACAAGAAAATGAGAAAATTCCAACAAAAATTACAACAAATATAACTATTTTCTTATGCTGATTTTAGAAAAATTGACTTTTAGTTTCTTAAATATATTTTACCTTATTGTGATTGCATAGATTTATTAAAATGTATTACAAATGAGAAAGGTGATAGATTATGTAAAGTATAATTTATAAATTGCAGTGACATGTTATTTTGATGGTATATTTTTTTCTATTAACTAAATAATGCTCCAAATATGAAATTATTTTGGATCTATCACTGCAATTATCTTTCCAATGGAACTTCTATTGAATTTTTGCATAATACCAATGACAGTTTTTTCAACGATTGAAATATGGTCCAAGAAATAAATTCCAATAAAAATTCAGGTAATTGAAATCATTACATCCACTAAAGTTCATGTAATTTAATTTAAACTCTATTGGAATAGTCAATGAAAGCAACATATTCGTTGAAATTTTCAGTAGAATACCTTACCGTTGAATTTTTCATTGCAGTATAGCAAAATTTTTGTAGTCCTCTCAAACATTATTTTTTATGTAGTATTTATTGAGTAACTAGTATTCGACCTGTGCATTTGCACAAATGTAAATAAAGTATTGTGAGTTATTTGTATGTATATAATGATTAATTAATTTTCTTTCACTTTTTGCATGCCAAATTTACAAATAAAGAAGTTGGAATATATATTTTTTTTTTTAAATTACGTTTATCTGATTGGATGTAATGTATATTTTGGTACGTCTTTTTTTGAATTATTTATCATTTATTTAGGAATTTCAAATACGTTTTTAATTTAAAAAAATAAATAAATATAACCACAATAATAACATCTAATCACATTGTACGATCAACACATTATATGGTCAGCTGTCACTAATAAAAAACTTAAAATGATTTTTGTAATTTTGAAGTGATTAGTATTGATTATTTAATAATTAAATGAAAGATTAAATACATAAAAAAGTAACGGTTTTTGGAGGAAAAAGTATTAAGTTGCCACATAGGTAAAATTAATTAGGTTTTATTAAATGCTATTGGCTAGTAATTATATATATATAGATTGTGTTTACAATTTTTTTATTAAAAATATATTAAACACGTGAACTTTTTAGTTCCTACAATTTTTTTTTTTTCATAAATCACTCATTATTTTATCTCAAGATTATCTATTTACCAATTAAGTTACATTTCTTACACATTAAATATTACTCCCTCCTATTCAAAATAAATGTCGTTTTGACTTTTTTGATAATGTCTAGATACATAGCAAAATGGATGAATCAAAAAAAGTCAAAACGACATTTATTTTGAATAAGAGGGAGTATATGATTAAATTTTTTTTTGTTTTATCTGTTCAATATCATACTTATATATTATATTAAAAAAAACTATTATAGTAAATAAAAAAGTTAATTAAAATTAGAATAATAAAGATTTTTTTTTTCTAATCTACATGTATAAATGTACAAATAACTATTGTCTATCACCTCAAATTTACACATAATTAATAAGAACAAAAAACTAACAAGCGTTTATAATTTAGTTCGATTACATCGATAAGTATATTTTTAGAAGGTTTATATTTAGTTATATTAATTATATTATTTTGTTTATTAGTTTGTTTTATATTTATTAGTACGTGTCACAAATTAGTTATTATTCATATTATTTCTTATATTTAATATTTTTTTTAAAACTTTATCTTGTTCTTTCACATGTTCTTAACTGTAGATTTGTTAAAAAAGACATAATATAAAGAATAGAATTTTTTCGATCATCTGCCTCATTATATATCAAATATTTGTATATCCTATATTATATTATATTTAATTACAATTTTTTATTAATATTTCGATTAAATATTTACAATTCATAAATTCATTAATAATATTGTCGAGTCAACTTTTGTTCATAAAATTTTTAAAAATATATTATTTTCATTGATTTGCTTATGTTGAATTGAGAAAAGTTATGTTTTTTGATTACATATAGGGAGGATATAAGATTTCTTATATTTTAGTATTTATTGAGTAATTGTGTTTACAATTTTTCTATTAAAAGTATATTAAACACGTGAACTTTTTAGTTCCTATAATTTGTTTTTCATAATCACTCATTTATTTATCCCAAGATTACCTATTAATTTACCAATTGAGTTACAATTCTTACATATTAAATATTATATAATTAAAATATTTCTTATTTTATCTATTCAATATGATACTTATATATTACATCAAAAAAACTAATATAGTAAATAAACAAGTTATTTAAAATTAGAATACTAAAGATTTTTTTTCTAATCTATATGTATAAATGTACAAATAATTAACTATTGTCTTTCACCTCAAATTTACACATAAAATTAATAAGAACAAAAAACTAACAAGCGTTTAACAACTCAGTTCGATTACATCGATAAGTATATTTTTAGAAGGTTTATATTTAGTTATATTAATTATATTATTTTTGTTTATTAGTTTGTTTTATATTTATTAGTACGTGTCACAACTTAGTTATTTTTCATATTATTTCTTATATTTAATATTTTTTTAAAACTTTATCTTGTTCTTTCACATGTTCTTAACTGTAGATTTGTCAAAAAACACATAATATAAAGTATAGAATTTTTTCGATCATCTGCCTCAATATATATCAAAATTTGTATATCCTATATTATATTATATTTAATTAAAATTTTTTAATTATTAATTTAATTAAATATTTACAATTCATAAATTCATTAATAATATTGTCGAGTCAACTTTTGTTCATAAATTTTTTTAAAATATATTATTTTCATTGATTTGCTTATGTTGAATTGAAAAAAGTTATGTTTTTTAATTATATATAGGGAGGATATAAGATTTCTTATATTTTTTATATATTATTTATTGAATAATTGTGTTTACAATTTTTCCATTAAAAGTATATTAAACACGTGAACTTTTTAGTCCCTATAATTTTTTTTTCAGAAATCACTCATTATTTTATCCCAAGATTACCTATTAATTTACCAATTGAGTTACATTTCTTACATATTAAATATTATATAATTAAAATATTTCTTGTTTTATCTGTTCAATACGATACTTATATATTATATTAACAAAACTAATATAGTAAATAAAAAGGTTATTTAAAATTAGAATAACAAAGTTTTTTTTTCTAATCTACATGTATAAATGTACAAACTATTGTCCATCACCTCAAATTAACACATAAAATTAATTAGAACAAAAAACTCTCAAGCGTTTAACAACTCAGTTCGATAATATCGATAAGTATATTTTTAGAAGGTTTATATTTAGTTACATTAATTAAATTTTTTTTTTTATTAGTTTCTTTATATTTATTAGTACGTGTCACAACTTAGTTATTATTCATATTATTTCTTATATTTAATATTTTTTAAAAACTTTATAATCTTGTTTTTTCACATGTTCTTAACTGTAGATTTGTCAAAAAAGACATAATATAAAGTATAGAATTTTTTCGATCATCTGCCTCATTATATATAAAATATTTGTATATCCTATATTATATTATATTTAATTACAATTTTTTAATTAATAATTTAATTAAATATTTACAATTCATAAATTCATTAATAATATTGTCGAGTCAACTTTTGTTCATAAAATTTTTGAAAAATTTTCATTGATTTGCTTATGTTGAATTGAAAAAAGTTATGTTTTTTAATTATATATAGGGAGGATACAAGATTTCTTATATTTTTTATGTAGTATTTATTGAATAATTGTGTTTACAATTTTTCTATTGAAAATATATTAAACACGTGAACTTTTTAGTTCCTATAATTTTTTTTTCAAAAATCACTCATTATTTTATCCCAAGATTACCTATTAATTTACCAATTGAGTTACATTTCTTACATATTAAATATTACATAATTAAAATATTTCTTGTTTTATTTGTTCAATATGATACTTATATATTAAATTAAAAAAACTAATATAGTAAATAAAAAAGTTATTTAAAATTAGAATAATAAAGATTTTTTTTTTTTTTTTCTAATCTACATGTATAAATGTACAAACTATTGTCTATCACCTCAAATTTACACATAAAATTAATTAGAACAAAAAGCTAACAAGCGTTTAACAACTCAGTTCGATTACATCAATAAGTATATTTTTAGAAGGTTTATATTTAGTTATATTAATTATATTATTTTTGTTTATTAGTTCCTTTTATATTTATTAGTACGTGTCACAACTTAGTTATTATTCATATTATTTCTTATATTTAATATTTTTTTAAAACTTTATAATCTTGTTCTTTCACATGTTCTTAACTGTAGATTTGTCAAAAAAAGACATAATATAAAGTATAGATTTTTTTCGATCATCTGCCTCATTATATATCAAATATTTGTATATTCTATATTATATTATATTTAATTACATTTTTTAAATTAATATTTTAATTAAATATTTACAATTCATTCATTAATAATATTGTCGAGTCAACTTTTGTTCATAAAATTTTTAAAAATATATTATTTTCATTGATTTGTTTATGTTGAATTGAGAAAAGTTATGTTTTTTTTTTTAAATTATATATAGGGAGGATAGAAGATATGATGACATTAGTATATTACCAATTTGCCATTAAAAACATGTGAAAGTAAGAGTTTTTTAGGTGGTTCATTTTTTAATTAAAAATATAAATAAAATATGATGTGTATTAGTGTATTATCAAAATAAGGATTTTTTAGGCATTATGAATTTTTACAAAAACACTCCTCCTTTTAAAGTAGTATAGACATAGATAGATATAGATTAAATAACGCAGCAGCACTCAAACCAGAATACAAAATCTCACCTCGAAATATTCGACAAGTTTGTGAGAGTGGTGGCCGAGGGGTCCGGCATAGATCACTCGTCCTCCGCTCTTCATTAACAACAACTGCAAAGGTTTAATAGTTTTTGTCAATGTCAGATCTTCAATGAAAAAAAAAATTAGAATATGATATTCCAGTAAAATGCACCATCTACAAAATTATCCTGAAACTATATTAATATTCCAATATTGATCTAAATAGTTATGCAACTAGTGCAATCTCAAGTCAAAATGCAGTCGCATCATAATTAAATTACAATAAAAAGTTGGAAAAAAACATGCATTTTCCATGAAAACATTTTTTTGTTGATCGTTACAGGATTAATTTCAAAATGAGTGACTTTTCAAGTGATTTTGTCACCTCATCAAAAGCTTCAAAAATATCGATACTAGGTTGGTGGATCGTGCAGACCACAGTCCGTCCTGTGTCCACTGTATTCCTCACAGTTCGCATAACAATGGCTGCTGCCCTTGCATCAAGCCCGGTTGTTGGCTCGTCCATGAATATTATAGAGGGATTGGCCACTAACTCGACAGCTATTGTGAGCCTCTTTCTCTGCTCGGTCGAGAGGCCATCAACTCCTGGAAGCCCAACTATAGCATTTTTCAGCAGCTTCAGCTCAACCAAATCCATAACCTCCTCCACAAACATCTGAATTAAGAAAAAGTTCTCTTAAAGAGCTAAAAAGATAATGAAGCTTGCTATTACAAACAATGGCTGGCATGTGTTTTGCCCCGTTTTTTTTATGTCGTCGATTGTCACTAGCCTAGTATCAAATATGGAACTAAAGTATTCTGTATTTGATACATACTGATATCCGAAGAACATCAATCAATAATTAAAGCCAAAAAAAAAAATTGATAAGATTGTGAGATGATTGATCTACGAGCTGAATATATTAAAAAACTTTAGCGAACAAAAATAACGACTTTTTCTTTGAGGTTATCATAATTCATATGAGAATAATTTTAAGTATTATTTAATAAGAATTATAACATGAATCAACAAAGTTACTTGACTAAAATTACAAGATTTCCTCATTTCATAAAATTCTTTATTTTCTATAGTAAACTAATGCCTAATTAAGACATTCAAAACTTCAAAATAATTATTACATATGAAATGTGAATATCACTTGCCTTTCGTGCTTTTAAATCGACATCCGCAGACAGACGTAGCCACGCGGAGTAAAGAATGGATTCGTGTACGGTGACATAAGGCGAATGGATGTCATTCTGCTCACAATAGCCACTCACCCTAGCAGATGTCAGTTGGTTCTTTGGGTAACCCGAAATACTTATATCACCTTCTATATAGCCTCCTGTTTTTCGGCCAGCCAGGACATCCATTAAAGTTGTCTTTACAGCTCCACTCACACCGACCAATGCTGTAAGGACACCTGGCCTGAAAGCGCCACTCACGTCGCGTAGCAACTGGAGCCTTTCATCTTTCACACCCCGCGTCTTCATTCTCTGAATCACAAATTTGTTCCGGAATTAGAAGTAAACATCATGTCTTTCAGGATAAGTGCAGAAAAAATCATGTGATTTGATTATGTATCTTAAGCGTAAGGAGGTAACTATAATAATTTTCACGCATGAATATATCGACGCTTTTTGAAATGGCATTACAGAATCAATCCTAGAAGGCATTCCTTTTATTTTATTATTTTGTAAATTTGTAATTAGCCTAACCTATAAGTGGTTTTCGGTAATTAATAATATATATGTTTCCTTACATATTGTGATTAAATTATTGAGATTATCTGATGATGAATAGGAACTTACGGCTGGCATGTCGACATAGTAATTCACATGGTTGAATGCTAGAGAAAATGGTTGAAAAGGCAAGACCATCCCTCTTCTTGGTTTTTTGTTTGCCATAGCCACTTGAATATCTGGTATTATGAACAATCATAGTCAGTCTACTGATGACAAATATATATATACATAAATTCTCACCATTTAAATTGGTCGTGTGCTGCATGTTCTTTCTTTCCACGTCCTCATCGGCGATGACAGTTTTAGTATACTATCACCAAAAGCTAAGATAAAATAAGAAAAAAAAAAAAGGCTCCTTAGCCACAGTAGGGGTTTTCGTGAGACAGAAAAAATGTGAGTTATTTTTCACTTACGATTTAAATATGTTAATGCTACTACGAAGAAAACATTGAATAGAAGTGAGAACCCGAAAAGGGCCACAGTACAAATCCAGTAATAAGACTCGGTCGTGAACAAGCCTTTGTCCCTTAAAAGGGTCTTTCCAACAGTTGTCTCCGAGCCATTAGTAGGCTGAGTAAATTGACAGAACACAAAAAACGAGACTGTTTAGTATGCTGCTTCATAAAAACATTACCATTTAGCAGGTTATTAGTGGCTTACTGCACTCCATCTCTCAGCAAGGAACTCGTTTATTACGATAGCATTTTGACCATACATCATGGGAGAAATATAATACCCCCAAATCATCCAATCCTCGATATCATCTGTGAAACAAAGATGAGAACATCATAACAATGACTTTTAACTAATGGAGCAGTTGAGTATTGGAAGGAATGACTTGGAAAAACTTTCGGTTTCGGAGGAAGTGATTTAAACTGTAGCATGAGAGAAAAATGATTTTGGGATCATAAGATTATCATGTTTGTAAATACAACTCTAAGCTTCATAAGATAATAGCAGAACATCTGGTGAATAAGTTGCTAAGTGCATTATTACTTAAAAAGGAAATCTGATTATCCGAGCTGAAATCTGAAAATACCAATTTTTCTTTCTTTTTCTTTTATTTTTTTTTTCTTACCCTTCGCAACAATGAATCCTCCAAGTACGGAAATCATCAACAATGTAAAAATCCCCAATGTGTTAGAAATGACTTGTGTCCTTCCGACTGCAGCAATAAAACGGAACAGAGACAGAGCCATCTGATTCACTCCAACAAAAGCCAAGAGCTGCTTGAAAAACCTGCAAAATACACCAAAATCAAGAACCAGCAAATAACCAACCATTTCTTCCCAAACTCTTTTAATTTCCTCTTAAAAAAAAAAATACATTACCACACACCTAGCCGGAGAAGGCGCAAACCCAATGGTGTAATATGTAAGAACGATCCACAATGTAGACTGCACAACCACCGGTACACTCAGCACCCAAATTGGTAAAGCAAAAGCCCAAGCCGGGTAAAACAAGTTGTCCCGTAGTTTGAAAAACACCGGGAGCCTAAAAACCGTCATGGCCATCTTTTGCGCTCCATTGAACATAACATTGATCAAACTGAAAAACAAAGCCCCCCAAAACTTAGAACCATCCTCAACCCTGCCCGACCTCATCTCAGTCCTGAAAAAAACCGTTATGGTAATCAAGGCCATTTCGTCGCCTTGAAAATATAAACCAACCAACTCCTTTTCATCAGAAGCCATTCCCTCAATAGGCACGCCGTGAAAAGCTCCCAACTGGAAATGTGTATTTGTCCCTCACTAAAGCCGCCAGATGAGTCCTCGACTTGTCGTAAGGAACTTTAAGCTCCTCCTAAAGCTGTTGCCCGATAGGAAAGGAGGTAAAGGCCTGCACAAACTCGGGCACGGACACATAACGGTAGGGTTGACTTTCTATTCCCCAGTATTGCTCTTGGTCTTTGTGGGAGGTGACTTCTTGGAGAAAATCGGCCACTCCTTTCCTAACGGGGCATTTGAATCCAGCGCGCTCGAAAAAATCGAGGATGTTCTCTCGTGGGCCTTGATAGACAATGTGGCCGTCTGATAGGAGGATGATGTCATCGAAAAGGTCGAACGTCTCGGGAGCCGGTTGGAGTAGGGATATGAGCATGGTTATGTCCATGGTGTGGACCATTTGCCGCAGGGATTTAATGACTTGGAAAGTGGTGGAGCTGTCGAGCCCGGTCGAGATCTCGTCCATGAAGAACACATTCGCGGGCCCCACCAACATTTCCCCTGCCAACAACAGAGCTACTAAAGGCACGTTTTTGCCTAGAAAAACAGTTACTATCTTGCTACACATATGAAGTGAAAAGGATATTATAACAATGTACCGGTAGTAAGACGCTTTTTCTGTCCACCCGAAATGCCTCTCCTCATATCATCGCCCACTATAATATCAGCACAAATATCCAATCCAAGAATCTGTTTCAGAAATAAAGAGAACCCACAAAAAATGTTGGCTAATTCAGTCAAAAAGAGCAAAAAATTGACGAAACCAGCAATAAAGAAGGGACCTTGAGCACGTAATCCGTGATGAAGCTCGTTTCTTGCCCCGCAAGGGATATGGCTTCCAATAATGCATCAATCTCAGGGTCGTGTGTGAATATACCAATACCATTACCAGCCTCTTTCTCTCTTTTAGACAATTCGAGGAGCAATTGGTGCCACGTCCCGACGCCCAAACATCTGCAAGAGAAATCTAACGTCTCGAAAAAAGTCATTTCAGCGAAGACCATGCTGACTGATGTAAGCACACGTTCTTTGAGAGACAACTTGACCTGTTAAAGAATATATTGTAGAGACGAGCAATATTGCAGCTATTTCATGTAAATCGAAGAAAGTAACAAAAATTATGTGGAAACTGATATAGCACAATAGAACACTTGGGGTAGACCGGTAAAAATCGGCTCGGTTTATCCGCTAGAGGAAATCAGCTCGGTTTATGGGCTAGAGGAAATCAGCTCGGTTGATGGGCTAAAGGTGTGTTGCAGGATGGTTGGTCGGCCAGATGCAATAGTTTTTTAATAAACAGGCTCGGCCCAATAATGAATTGGCCAGGTGAATGGGTTAGGGAGTTTGGGCCGACACTTAAATGGGCTTGGTAATTATCAGCGGATGAAAGAGCAAGCGTGGGGAGGAAGCTAAGGACTTGCATATAAATAGGTAAAGCAGGTATGAGGGAGGCTAAGTTTTTGAGATCACTAAAACCCTAAAATATAAACGGATTCTCTTCGATACCCTACTAACTTGAGCGTCGGAGGTTTACCGCCGGGAACACTTCCCGGCGTCTTTGCAGGTCTTGGAGAGCTCAAGCGGCGGGGTTAAAGGAGAATCGGTCCAGTGTGCAGAAGCACATCAATTGGCGCCGTCTGTGGGACCTTACTATTTTATTCTACCGATTGAGGGATACGAGGATGACAAATACAATCACGGATGAGCAATCAAGGAGGAACTTAACGATAGTTTGGATGAAGCATGGGTGGCAAAGACGCCCTATGGTGGAGGACCGCCAAAGGGATGGGTTGCTGGAGAGGGCTCAATGACTACACCCCCTGTTACGATACAAGGGGTACTCCTGTTCCCCATCGAATCAGGAGCAGGGATCAGCGACCCAGGGAGCGGGCCAAGAGATGGTGATACGAACATCGGTGCCAGAAGTGGTGCCGGAGGGTGGAGGGCCGGTGATGCAGATGACTAGAGGAGAGTTGGACCGCATAGTTGCGGAGGCGGTAGGTCGGGCGTTGGCCGCGCGAGACACGGTGGTGATTGAGAAGCCCGCTGCCGTAATAGAAAGACCAGTGGAGGCGGAGCGAGCCGTTGAGGTTGTGGAACGACCTGTTGTGGCTGGAGAGCGGCCAGCTGCTAGGGTCGAGCAGCATGTCCCCGGGTTGTCTAGACCTTTAAGGGGCGGTAGTCACCGCAGGGATGATCAGGAGGAGAGATCGGTGATATCGCTGATGGTTCCAAGGCAGTCCAGGGATGCGCTGATGGAGCAGATGGCTAACCAGATTAAAGAGCTCCAAGCAAGGGTGGAAGGCATGCGGCATCTCAGGATGCAGGGGCATCCCTTCACCGATGACGTTTTGGGTGCCGATTTACCGCACAATTTTAGAGAGCCAAGTATCTATTATGACGGGTCCTCAGATCCGGCAAGGCATCTGCGGAGCTTTGAGAACGTGGCGGTCTTACATCGATATAGCGATGGCGTCTGTTGCAGGGCCTTTTTGACAACCTTGAAAGGGCCAGCTCAGGATTGGTTCCATCAGTTACCCGCTGGGTCTGTCCACAGCTTCGACGCATTTAGTTCGTTATTTATAAATCAGTTCTCTAGCGCGAGGAAACACGAGAAGACCTATATGTCCCTTATGAATATGCAGCAGCGTGATAATGAGTCCCTAAGGGAGTATGTGGCCAGGTTTACTCGTGTATGCATGGAGGTACCCACGGCGACTGAAGAAATTAAGGCCGGGGGGTTGACACGAGGATTGAAGGCAGGCCATTGCAGAAACTCGCTAGCCAAAAAGCCTGCCTGATCCTACGATGAATTGTTGGAAAGATGCACCAAGTATATGAATATGGAGGAAACGGAGGCCGATTTCCAGGCACACGATCGCGCTCGGGGAAAAAAGCATGACAAAAAACACAGGCCAGAGGACAAGAAGGCAGGAGGCAAAGATTATAGGAGTGAGGATAGGGGGCGTATGGGGTTCAGGTACGAGCACTACACTCCGCTGACATCACCAAGGGGGCAGGTGTTTGAGATGTTGGAGAGGCGCGGAGAGACCAAGATGTTCGGGAAACCCCAACCCTTACCCAAGAAGTCGGGGAAGATGCCGGTCAAAGGAGACCCGTTCTGCAGGTACCATCGTGATTATGGGCACTGGACAAACAATTGTAAGGAACTTAAGGATGAGATTGAAAGATTGATACGGGCTGGACATTTGAAGGAGTTCGTAGTGAAGGACAGGGAGAAGAGAGGAGATACCGAGGGAGGAGACAAAAAAAGGAGGCAGGAGGAACATGGAGAGAGGCCCCCCAAAAAGGGAGTGATCCACATGATAGCAGGAGGACCGACAGATGGGGATGCCAACGGAGCTAGGCGTACTAATTTAAGAGCAGATTGGGAGAATGTTGGGGAGGTCCAGACTGCCTATGCCATGCCGGAATTGACGTTTGGTGCGGGGGATTCTCGGGGGATACTAGTACCCCATAACGATGCCCTGGTAGTGATAGCAGAGATTGCAGGATATGATGTGGAGAGGATCTTGGTGGATACGGGCAGTTCTGCAGACATAATGTTTTACGAATGTTTTCGGCAGATGGAGCTGGGTGTGGAGATCACCCCGATCAAGACGTCGCTGTTCGGCTTCAGCGGAGCAGAAGTGGTGCCACTTGGAGAAGTGCAGATGACGATGGCATTGGGAGCTCCTCCTCTCAGGAAGGTAAAAATGGTACGTTTCGTGGTGGTTAAGGCGGATTCAGCCTACAATGTTATTTTGGGGCGGCCTAGCCTAAACTCATTTCAAGCGGCCGTATCCACGTATTGTATGAAGATGAAATTCCCAGTGGGCGAGCTGGTGGGTGAAGTTACGGGGGGATCAGCGGCTGGCTAGGACTTGTTACCAAACTGTGCTGAAGGCAGTCACAAAAGGAAGTGTAGGGAAGAGAAGCAAAACAACATTGGGGAGGAAGGCCCAAGCAGAGTGAAGGAAGCTAGAGGGGAGATGGTTCCACATGACGAATTGATGGAGATCGTTTTGGTGGAAGGGGAACATGAAAAAGTGACGCGGGTAGGGAAGGAGTTGGCAGAACCCATTAAGGGGCAGTTGGTGGCACTGCTCAGAGAGTATGCCGATATTTTCGCATTTACGGCGGAAGACTTGGTGGGCATCGATCCTAGAGTGGCCGAACACAAGCTCAACATTGATGCTAGGGTAAGACCGGTCAAGCAGAAAAGGAGGCATTTTGGGGTAGAATTGGATGCTGTTATCGAGAAGGAGGTAGACAAGTTACTGCAGGCTGGCCACATTAAACCTATCCAATTCCCGGAATGGCTCTCGAATCAAGTCATGGTGAAGAAAGCAGAGAATAAGTGGCGTATGTGCACGGATTTTAGTGACCTTAACAAGGCATGCCCAAAGGACCATTATCCTTTACCGCGCATTGATCAATTGGTGGATTCAACTGCGGGTTGTGAGCTGTTGAGCATGATGGACGCCTCGCAGGGATACCATCAAATACCATTGGCCGAGGAGGATCAGAAGCGGGTAAGTTTTGTTACCTCTAAGGGGTCTTATTGTTATATTGTCATGCCTTTCGGTCTGTGTAACGCTGGGGCGACGTATCAGCGTTTAGTGGATGTTTGCGGGGCAGTTGGGGAGAAACATGGAGGTTTACGTAGATGACATGTTGGTCAAGAGCCGAAAAGCGGATGACCACGTGGGGGACCTGAAAGAGACCTTCGAGACATTGAGACGATATAGGATGAAGCTAAACCCTGCGAAGTGCAAGTTTGGGGTAAGGTCAGGCAAGTTCCTCGGCTATATGGTCATGGAGCGGGGCATAGAAGTTAATCCTGAGAAGGTGAGGGCGGTGCTCGACATGCAACCACCTAGAAATATAAAGGAAGTGCAGATTCTCACTGGCCGTTTGGCAGGGCTCAGCCGGTTCATCGCCCATGCGGCCGAAAGGAGTTTTCCTTT